AATTAAATAGAACATAAACATTATAATAAATATAAGGAAATGAAATATATATGGTCTTAGAGGAAGCCATAGCCCCAATCGAAAACGAATATGTATATATTTATTATCATATGTTTTTAAAGTATGAGTGATCTTCCTCAACATCGTGATGTTATATATATATATATATATATGAGCAAAGCCCCAAAAGATATCATTTTTAAATCATTAAAATCTCAAGAATGTACATAAAAAAAGTATCTGCACAAATGTCGAAGCAATTTGATGATCCATATAGAAAAAGACATATCAAAGATGAGTCCACACAGCAAACCCTGAGGCCCAATAATCTAGCTAAACATATTAAGTCTTACTGACCAGACGTATACCAAAGCCACTAAGGGTCTATTTGGGGCAGCTGTAGATCATTTATAATTTGCTGATAAGCAGATTATCCTGATAATCTGACAATATGCAGATTATCAGAAAAAGTTGATTTGTTGTTTGAATTAGCTTATTCAGAATAGCTTATTGACAGATGTAACTGGATAAATGATCATTCTGCCCATGTTTGGTGAAGTTGTTTGCAACAGAGCTGTATGGTGAAATTAATAAATAAAACAGAAGCCGCAAACTGCTACAGATCAGTTCAAATAAATAAAATACGCTGCTCACTATGAGTCACTTATTTCTCTTCCTAATGGTACAAGGTCAATTAACTCATTCCAAAGCTCATGATATGACCTACATTAGCAAAATTAAGGAAAAATCTCATCCATAATGCTGATCGATCCAAAGAATATCTATGTTCCTTTGATCTGAGATACATTTGGAGCTGAGACAACAAGCATATAGTTTGGATGGCAAAATTGCCTGAAATAGTTACAATTAATTCAGACTTTGCCACCATATTCCTTCTTGAGTAAAATTTTGAGAGCAATATATGAAGGAGTACCAATAGTGGACTTCAATTGTGAATGTAAAACAGCAGAATGAAAAAACATAATTTAATCTATCAAGTTAACTAGCATCATCAAGTAGAAAAGGAGAAAACAAAATTGAAAATCAATTAGCAAAAGAAATTCATACAGAAATTATTAGTAATGTTGTGGGAGAACTCTTAATTCCTCTTCCTCTAGAACAATTATCTCATGCATAAATTAATAATTCTAAGAGAAATTAGTTTTAAAAAATAAAAGAAACATTGTTTCTTTTTTGCAATTCATGAGAAATGATTCTCAATTATTATCAAAATCAAACTTTTATGAGTGATGATAAAGAATGAATGAAAAATAAGGAATCCAAAAAATACTTAGAGTGGACAGGGAAGGTGTTGAGAAGAGAAGGGCTGAAGGAGAGCTTCGATCCTGCAGTTGTAGTGCTGGAGGATTCGTGTGGCTGCGGTTCGAGTGCTGGAGGAATTGCGACCGAGACAGGTTGGGAGAAATTGCGACCGGATTGAAGTGGAAATGATCTGGAGGAATCGCGACCGGGACGGATTGGGAGGTGTTGCGACCGGAAATGGTTGGGAGAAATCACGAGAGGAAGATCTGTAGGAAGTGCGATTGGGAGAAGGATCGGGGACGAGATCAAGGGCTTCGAAGCACGATCGGGACAGGTTGGGAGGAGTTGCGACCGGAAATGGTTGGGAGAAATCGCGAGAGGAAGATCTGAAGGAAGTGCGACTAGGAGAAGGATCGGGGACGAGATCGAGGGCTTCGAAGCGCGACCGGGAGAAGGATCGGGGATGAGATCGAAGAGAAGGATCGAGGACGAGATTGAAGGCTGGAGGGTAATAAGTTCGAACAAAACGAGGAAAGCGACCTCCGAAGTGCGGTCGAGATTAATGAAGAATTTGCGTCAACGATTTCGTACTGTCGTTCATACGCGCAAAACAAACTCTTGCTAGGCTTTTTCGGAACGCCCACCACACTAATAAGCTGCCCCAAACGTACCCTAAGGCAATCAAATACTCAGAGTCCAAGTTGTTTGACCAGAAGCAAAGCGCAGGATACACAAATTATTCACTATGATGAAACCAACCCAAGAAAAGAACTCACCCCTTGAGTCCTGTTGTTGTATTAGGGACATCCACTAAGCTCTCTAAAATATCAAGAAGACCAATCTTAGCCATCACTTGGGATCTCTTCGTCTAAGAGCAATTACCAATCAGATTACGGTGATTTACCTTTAGCTTGATAGTCGGTCCAATCAGTCGAGCCCTATAGCAGTCATGCTCTGAGCTCACATATGTAAAATATCTATAATAACAAGTACAACCATTCTAAAGTAGGGGCATAAATGTAACTTGATCATTGTATGAATAAAGGGTTACAAACTTATTTTAAATTACTGTTTATTTTCCATGCACCTCCATCTTTTTCTCTCTTATATTATACTCCATTTCTTAGATGCGAGTCACGTACAAATCATGATTCAATACATTATTAACTTTAATTTTAATTTTTCTTTTAAGAGAAAAGACTGAAAATGAAACTTATATGAACGCATTAATCCAATAATTACCTAACATAAAATTTTCTATAATTGACGGTCTAAGAGGAAGAAAATCCAACATTTGAAATGCACTTTTACAACCAATATACTTTTCATAATAACCTTGCTAAGCCATATATTCTCATCCTAATGACTAATAACAGCTTTTTAATCACTAATTAAAAACCAATCGTCTAAATAAAAATATAAACGTGCGGAAAGACCTGCATAAAAAATTAAATGATGGATTCAACGTACGCATGACACGTGAGAAAAGTACTCTGTTTCTCCCCACCCCATTTTAGGCGCATCATGAAACACATTTTATTCAATCGCAGAGCAAGATCTCTCAATTTTTCGTATGTCAGAAGGTAAGTTCAATTATTTCCTTGATTTTTTTCATCCCTTCCGTTCAGATTTAAAGAAAAGTTTGATAGTTTCATACTGTGAGTTTCAGTTTCTTTAGCAATTAAAACTTATCACTAAACATATATAAAATCATTTTTATAATAAATTTGCGTTTCATATACTTTTTTAATAGAAAAAATAAAATAAAATTTCAGATAAACCCCCCTATGCCTCGGAAAAAAATTGAGTACATAAGACGTACGTAGAGCTGCATACGTCTGTAACCTGCAAATAAGTTACAAGGAGGATATTCGGAGGTTATTACCGCATTATAGCCCCTATAACCTCCCTGTAACCTATTTATATATGAAAACAGAAGCGCGAAACTTACTAAAAGTTACATGTAGGTTACGGAGATGTTACATGAGCTATAATGAAGTTATAACCTCCAAATATCCTCCTTATAACATATTTTCAGGTTATAGACGTACGCAAAGCTGCGTACGTCTTATATACGCAATATTTTAAGTACTGCAATCATCTGTATATTAGAATTAGTTGCCACAAAGGATTAATTTTTGGAAATTTAGAATTGCAACAGTGCTTCAGAAATAAAAAAATTTATAATATTGTAAAAAAGTTAAGATCTTTATTTTATTTTATATAAATTTCTTGGCTGGCGAAGGCCCACGAAAAAATTGAACTTTTGATATTCTAAAAAAGAGAGAAAAACTGAATCTCGTCCAAGTCCTTTCTCTGCCACCTTCAAAAGGTGGTAAAAGCAAGCCTGTAAATTAACCCTATCTTCGCTTCACTTGGAGACAGCTCAAGTAGTGGAGACATCCCTCGTCATCAGAAGCACAACAAACCCACCAACCTTCACACCTTCAGACCCCAACACTAACACAAAGCCGTCATCTTTCTTCCTCTGTCGTTTTAAGGAGGGGAGGGGATGGATGGAAGAAGAAAGACACATATACCAGCTTCAATGGTCCCGGTTCTGGTCACTATTCTCGGTCCCCACTCTTAGTTAACCCGTACTTGTCTCCACCATACCGTCGGATCCATCAACTACAAAAGCCTGTTGGCCACTTGAGGTCCCCTAGTCTACCATTTCGCTGTCGTGAACCACAGAAACTATTGAAGGCCGGAATGAACTCTGTTGGCAGATTACTAGACAACAAACGAGTTTAAGTTGTGCCTGCGGATCTCTAACAATGCGCAGTTAGGAGTAGAAAGACAAGGAGCGGAGTCAGAGAAAGGTTTCTAGGGTTTTAAGCCGTGGAAGGTGGAGAGAGCGTGTCTGATTGTTGCAGAGGTTTCAGAGGTTTCATGTGCAGTATTAATGACTGAGAACTGCTTCCACTTACAAACAGCAAGCTGGAATGGAAGTAACATTAAATGCAACGCATGAATTGGGAAATCATTTACCCTCCGTTATGCATGACGGGCATAATTGCCAATTCAATGGGAGCTTATAATAAAACCAAAAAGGCTGGGCTCATGCCGACGTCGGATCGATACAGATGGGTTAATAAGTAATCTTAATGGTTTCAATGGGAATAAAATAGAACATAGGTTGAGAATAGGATATAAAGAGCTGAAGTATTGATTGAACAAAAAGGAATTTTTATGGATCTCTCTTCATAAAAATCTACTGTAAATAATATCACCATGCCATCTCATCCTCTCCATTCAACTTTATCTATGAAGCTAGTCCTTGTTGTATCTGTTCTTTTGATCTATGGATAGGCATTAGTTAGAACAAGGGAGAAGATATGAAATGAGTAGTTTTTCTGCTACTTCTCGTCACTCCTGATATGCATTCAAACAATAAAATCTTTCCGCATGATAATTAGAAAAAAAACTCACAGACACTCACTGAACTCGTAAGGTCGAATGGAAGCAAAATAATGCATGAAATATACGTTCTAAACCTCTGTTATTTTCAAAGAACCAGCTTGAAAAAAATTAAAAGAGCAAAAGACTTCAACAAGGGTTAATACATTCTTAACGACATATATATAGCTTTTGCAGAGGTGAAAATAAAGAAGGAAGAATAGTTATAAAAATTTAATAAAGAATGATACGTATGACTAAACATGCACACTTCACAGTTAATTATAATCCAACTCTTATAAAAAAGCTAGATAGCTAGCTAAATTACAAGTAGAAACTAATTGAATGAGCAATGGCCCCCTCTAACAAGCTATATGATTAACCATACATGCACCGGCATCATATCTCCCGAAACAAAAACAGATACAACAAAACAAAACCTGACCTGCAGATAAACAGCTAGAAGCAAACGAAAGGAAAAGAAATTAATTATATAATCTAACAGAAACATTAAAAGAGAGAGAGAGAGAGAGAGAGACAAAAAAGTCAACATGAGAATAAAACCCTAATGCCCGATGGACTCAGATGGAAGAGGAAGAGGAGGAGGAGATGGATCTATGGCTTGCTTACCAATAGTATGCTTGTTATTATGCATCCAAACCTTGAAAACGTGTCGCTTTATGCTAGTTTCTTCACAAAACTGCTGTACCTCCGCCTCATCACTCTTCTGAATCCTCCAACCAATTCTGTCAGCAAAAGCCAGCATCTTGTTCTTCTGCTCCGGCGTAAACTTTGTTCTAAACCTCTTCTTCCCCGACGATGAAGATGACGCTCCAAGCCCTCCACCTCCACCACCCCTCACCTCCTCATGCTCCTCTCTGCTCAACCCTCCCCCCGAAGTCGACGGAAGACCCAAATGCGCCACAAATCTCTGCTGCCCCGCCGCCGCCGCAGCCCCCATCTGGTTGTACTGAAGGTATCCCACCGGCATGCGGTAATACGGCGAGTAAGGTGAGTGGAAACCAGAGCGATCACCGCCGCCTCCGGGTTCCAAGTCCTTGCGGTGAAAGTTACGGTGACAGTTGCAGGCGGCGCAGCGGAGGGCGTCAATCGTGCCTTCCTCACCGGCCGCCGTAAACTCACCGCAGCCATCGACGGCATGACCGCCGATGCCGACGGCGTGATTTTTCAGGCACTCGCGGTAGCGCACTCCGCCAACGGAGTGGCGGGGAAAGTTACCGGCGGGGAGATCTGGTGCTCCTCCTTGCTTGGGTCGGCCGGAATTGCCTGGCGGAGGGTGGTAGGCCGGAATATCCATCTCTTCCTCGCCGTTATCATTTTCTTCGAAATCCATATTGAGGAATATTCCGTTCTCGCTTCCGCCGCCGCCGCCGCCGTAACGACGACGGCGGGTGGATTATCTCTGGATAAAGAGTGGGGTTATCACTTCCGGCTGCCGCTCTGCGGAGATCTCAGTCTCGTTCAAAATCTTTACTTGCTTAATCCCGTTATCTTAATAGTCACCAGCTCTATTTATCTGCTTTATTATTAGTAGTGTATATATTTTATTTTATTATTTTTTTTACCTTTTTAATTAATATTTTCGCTTGTATTTAAAAACCTACCGCGCTGGTAATTTTTTCTATCTTAGACGGTCAAAATGTTGACCATTGGAATAATAAAAAATATGATAGTTTTTTTTTTTTTTTTTGGGTCACACAAGTCTCACTTATTTATTTAGTTTTATTTGTTACTTTTGACATTTTTTAGGATTTTCTTTTTCGTATTGTATTGTAGGCTTTAGACTTAGAGTTCACTGCTAAAGTATATATAATATATATATATAAACAGAATCTATTGTGCATTATTTGAGAAATTCATGAGCTTGAATTGTTTTATATTTTACACTTTGAAATTTTAAAAATAAATATTAATGCATTAATTAAAAAAATATTATGCTACCAACAATGATCACATATAACATTTTTCCAACAATGATCACATATAACATTTTTATTTTGGGGAAATTAGATATATATATATATAGAGCACCCAATTCTTATGGATTTACCTATTTGACATACAAAGTTTTACTTTTACACATATAACACTTTACATATGGATTAAAAGAAAGATTTGACTTTTAAAATGTGACAATGAATGCTACATTTCATTCGATCATTGCAATTATTAAATTTTTTATGTGAGATAGGTAAATATGAAAGTTTTGGGTGCTATATATATATATGTAAAAGCGCCATTAGTTTTTCTAAACTATCTGAAATGCTAACCTTGATGATATATAAAATGAAAGTTATTGTACATTAAAAATATGTCAGTGTTAATTATGAGATCCAATAGTCCAAAGGAGAAAAATATGACGAGAGATGGTGAATGAGAAGGGTATGACGAGAAATGGCGCACCAATTAAAGAATAAGGCTCATTTATTCGACTGAGTGCAGTCGTCCGAGCCAATGCTGACCGAGCCACGATTAGGACAAAAAGACAACCACTTGATCTGAGTTTGAATCATTCTATCAGAAATGAGACAAAGAGGCATCCGAGCTAATAGCCATGAAGAAGCAGACCTGAGGGGAGACTCTTCCCTCAACATCTCCAATCATCTGAAGGATGTCCAAAAGTCCCCCCTATAATAACAAGTAC